GCGGGGGAGCGGAGCGGAGCCCGGCAAGTCCCCGGGAGGCGATGTGGCCGGGCGCGGGCCCCTGCGTGAGGCGAGCGCCGCGACAGGCCGGCCAGTGAGGCGCCGCTTGGGGGAGGCCGCGACGGAGCTCCCGGACCCGCCATGGGCTGAGACACGTCCTTGCCGAGCAGGTGCAGTGACCAGCGGTCCCGGGGGTGCCCGCCCCGACAGGCCCCCGGGAACCCTCAACCCCGGCAGTAGGCGCCCTACCCGGCAGGTGTGCCCTGTTGACCTTCCCTCGGCTCTTCCCCAGAGGCCCTGCTGACCCCACTGTCAAACCCGGCGCGCGCAGCCCCTAACTAACATCCCGGGCATACCCCCATCCTACACTCCGTGACCCGAGCCCGGCAGGCCCCTGTGCTCGCCTCCTCTGCCCAGTGTTTTGAGCCCATTGCCGGCACAGCGCTTGGGAACTACCCAGCATCTCTTCGTTTCTCTTGTAGCCCAACATAGGGGTGGAGGAGGGGTGGGGGTGGAGTGTGACAGGGAGGAGGAAGGGTCAGTCCTTACCTGCAGAGGCCCTGGTAACCCCAATCCCCTCCTCTCTCTCTTAAGCCTGGGGTGAAAGTGACCCTTCCTTATCCCACCAGAACATGCCCGGGTGACTCTCTCCCCGATCTTCCTGGTGGCCTTCCTCGCCCTTCCCAGTGACACTATGCAACCCCAGCGCGACCCGGGAGGCCTCGGGCTCCTGCTGCTGTCCTGGAGCCTGCTCCTCTTCGAGGCGGCCAGGGCCGGCCGGCCGGCGGTTAGCTGTCCTGCTGCCTGCCTGTGCGCCAGCAACATCCTCAGCTGCTCCAAGCAGCAGCTGCCCAACGTGCCGCACTCCTTGCCCAGCTACACGGCGCTGCTCGACCTCAGCCACAACAACCTGAGCCGCCTGCGGGCCGAGTGGACCCCCACGCGCCTGATCCACCTGCAGTCCCTGCTGCTGAGCCACAACCACCTGAACTTCATCTCCTCCGAGGCCTTTTCCCCCGTACCCAACCTGCGCTACCTGGACCTTTCCTCCAACCAGCTGCGCACACTGGACGAGTTCCTGTTCAGTGAACTGCAGGCCCTGGAAGTCCTACTGCTCTACAACAACCACATCGTGGCAGTGGACCGCTGCGCCTTCGACGACATGGCCCAGCTGCAGAAACTCTACCTGAGCCAGAACCAGATTTCCCGCTTCCCTCTGGAACTGGTCAAGGAAGGAGCCAAGCTCCCCAAACTCACCCTCCTGGATCTCTCGTCCAACAAGCTCAAGAACTTACCGCTGCCCGACCTGCAGAAGCTGCCCGCGTGGATCAAGAACGGGCTGTACCTCCATAACAACCCCCTGCACTGCGACTGTGAGCTCTACCAGCTCTTCTCACACTGGCAGCACCGGCAGCTGAGCTCCGTGACGGACTTCCAGGAGGACCTGTATTGCGTGAGCTCCAAGAAGCTGCTCAACGTCTTCAACCTGAGCTTCCTCAACTGCAGCGAGTACAAGGAGCGTGCCTGGGAAGCCCACCTGGGGGACACCTTGACCATCAAGTGTGACACCAAGCAGCAGGGGATGACCAAGGTGTGGGTGACGCCAAGCAATGAGCGGGTGCTGGATGAGCTGGCCAACGGCACGGTGACGGTGTCCAAGGACGGCAGTCTTCATTTCCGGCAGGTGCGGGTTGAGGATGGGGGCGTGTATACCTGCCACGCCACGGGGGACGCTTTCAACGAGACGCTGTCTGTGGAGTTGAAAGTGTATAATTTCACCCTGCACGGCCACCATGACACCCTCAACACGGCCTACACCACCCTCGTGGGCTGCATCCTCAGCGTGGTCCTGGTCCTCATATACCTGTACCTTACCCCTTGCCGATGCTGGTGCCGGGGTGTCGAGAAACCGTCCAGCCATCAAGGAGACAGCCTCAGCTCTTCCATGCTTAGCACCACCCCCAACCACGATCCTATGGCTGGTGGGGACAAGGACGATGGTTTTGACCGGCGGGTGGCCTTCCTGGAACCTGGTGGTCCTGGGCAGGGTCAAAACGGCAAGCTCAAGCCAGGCAACACCCTGCCAGTGCCCGAGGCAACCGGCAAGGGCCAGCGGAGGATGTCGGATCCGGAATCGGTCAGCTCGGTCTTCTCTGATACACCCATTGTGGTGTGAGCAGGATGGGTTGGTGGGGAGATTCTGCCCCAGGAGAGGTAATGCACCCCCTGAAGGATATGAGGGCATGGAAGAGCGGGCTGGCTGCCCAAGGGAGTGGGTTCCTCCTGACCTCAAGGGAATTGGTCACGGGTACAGTAGCTGGCTCGACCTCAACCAGGGTGTGGCTGCCACGACTTTCAAATAGGGATATATTAATCCTCAGGCAAGTGCTACACCCCTACCCAAAGCCCTGGGAATTCTCCATGTGGTAGAGGAAAAGGAGCATGTCTGAATTGGGTGGGAATGAGGAAGGGGTGGGGGGAAGAGCAGATTCCCTAAACTTTTTCGAGGTCATCCTTAGCTCCTTAAGAGAAAATCATTCGGGGGAAAAAAAAAATTTTTTTTTTTTCTATCTCTGCCCACCCACACCTGTGATGTTGTGTGTGTTGGGGGGCGGATCTTCCACAGGAGCCACACTGGGGAAGAGCTGTAGCATCTTCTTTGGCCAGGAAGTCACACTTCACAGCTGGGGAAATTGGAAACCTTGGGAAAAAGGAGTCAGGAAAAGGCTGAGACCTCGATAACGCTCCCTAAAGCTGTTGTGATTTCCCACTAAATGCGTCTCTTTGCCAATGAGTCCTGGGTGGACAGATCTTTGCAGGAGTCTGGCCTGTCGCCTGTCAGATATAGCGACAATGAGAGATGCGGTACCTGTGCCAGGCCCTGGAATCAGTGGCACAGAGGGATACAGCATGAACTGAGGGGGTCTGTGTCACGGGACGGGTGCCGGCACAAAACTCATAGATGGCGGATAAACTCCAGATGCGCTGATTGTCTGGTTGGTGAAACCCTTGGGTAGCACTTGGTTCCCAGTACCTGTGTGTCAGACCAGGGTGGGGGCTGCTGAAAGCAGAGCTTTTATGCATGCCTGCCACAACCTGGGATGGGGGGCCGCTTCAACACGAGGAGGAGGAGGAGGAGGAGGAGGAGGGTAAATCAGCCTCTGTAATGTAGCATCCAGCTGGACCTACCTGACTGCCTGATGCCATCTCTTCCCTCAGGCTTCTTAGCAAGCTCGGGTGGGATTGAGTTTTCCCTAATATGCTGCTCTGCAAATGGAGGAATCCTGGAGAGTCTGGCCCCAGCTGCGTTACATTGGGCTTGGGGATGGAGGGGACCGGTTATGTGTCTTCTCTATGTTGACACCCTGCTGCAAAGCCAACGCATGGGATTTCATCATCCAAGGGGTTGGAATTGGGTGGTCTCTCTCCCAGAATGGCAAGTTGGAGTGCGGCTTAGAGCCCTGCCCCTCTCCACAAGGTTCCAGGCAGTCCTGTTAACAGAGACCCTGGCAGTAAACTTTCAGAAGGAAAGTTCTGCCGCCGCCATCCCTCTCAGCCAGAGGTCGGTGCAGTTGTGACAGTCAGACCAGAGGAACTTAAGAGCGGGCCCAACATTCCATTCCATCCAGGGATGCAGAATATTTTGGGTATGGAGATAACTGCACCCTTTGACTATCCTGCAGGCCCCGGGAGATGAGTGCTCCGAGCTTTGGCAAGGGGATGAGCAGGGCAAAGGTGAAAATGTTCTCTGACGTTGGTCTTTTTCAGTGTCTCCCCTTCTCCCAACCAAGCTCCCTGTCCATTGGACGTTCTCCAGATCTTCTAGTTTTCTAACCTGCTCTTTAGGTTCCAAGAGGTATGTCCTCTACCTGCGGGTAAGGGCTGCTTGCTAGGAGGGCCTGACTCCTGCTGCCTGTTAAGATTGGGAAAGGGGACTGGAACTCAACATCTTCCCTTGTCTGTTCCTGGGATGTCAAGACTGCTGTCCATCCTTTCTTAGTAACCTAGTTTGTCGAGAGAGGTGCAGCGTTTCCCTCAAGTACTTGCATGCTCCTAGGTATGCATGCTTCCAAGTGTGCATGCACACTAGCGCCTTGACTTCCCTCGGGACAGTGATTCTGTAGTCCCCACTAATGTCCCTGGTTCACAGTGGGTTCAACCTATGTGCCCAACTTCATGCACACAGCTACCTTGCCCCAGGGGAGAGACAGTGACCACGCCAGGCTCCCCAGATACAAACACTTGTACTTTTCATTTCTGAACTCCCTGAAGCTTTTCCCGCATCTCCGTGGCACTGGGTAACTTCTCTGCAAAGACTAGAGTTAGGAGAACCGCAGGTTGGCAACCTGGGGAGAAGGGATGATGAGGAGCTGGCTGGTTCTTCACACCCCTCAGAAACCTTCTTGGATTAAAGACAATATATATGAGAAATAAATGTAGAACTAGGTCAGTGATGGACCCAGAAGGAAACAGGCAGGGGAACAAGCAGCAATAAGTTGTTCTTCTTGTGTTAACTGTCCTGGAAAGACAGGGGTATGAAGGAAAAGTTGTCTTTTATATTCCAGAGACGTCTGAGGATTTTGTTACTGGAGCCATAGTGACCAGGCCATCCTCCTCAGACTTATTAAGGAACCGGGGGAAATCTCATCTCCACGCTGCAGTTTCCCACTGGGCACTACCTAGGGCTCTGAAAATCTTTAGGATAAATGTCAAATGAAGTTGGCCTTCTGGAGCATTCTGAGCTCCTGAGGACTAGGAGGGCCATTTTCTTCAGAAGTCCTACCCAGTTTAAGGAATAAGAAAAGACCCTGAGGCCCTATGTCTCCCTACTATATCCACTAGGTAGGCCCCTCGTTTGAAAGACTGGTAGATGTGTCTGGCTGCCCCACCAGGAGAGTGAACTGATTAGCCTCTTCCCGTCGTTTCAGTTGATAGAACCCAAAGGTAGCTTTCTACTTGGGCGATTAGGTACTCAGCATATATAAGCTCACTAGAACCTTGTGTTGGAAACTGCCAGGTCTGATAATAAGAAAAAGCTGAGAAATCCCTCCCTCCCTTCCCCCCATCCTGAACCCATAAACCAGACATATCTCCCAGGAAGCAGGTGTCCCTGGAGACAGAATATGACAGGGCTCTACAATCTGTCTATGTGATTATTTGTGATCTTTTTTTCTTTGCCTGTATTTATGGGGCTCCTAGGAAGGGGCCACAAGAGGGGACAGCCCAGCTGGGGACAGTAAAGCTGACTGATTCCCATTTTCTGTGTGTTCTTACCTCTGTACTTCTTGTCGCCCTGCTGGCGAAGCAAGCAGGCCTCCCTGTGTCCAGGACCCCATCCCTCCCACTTATGTACACCCAGGCTGGCAAACCTTGGAGCCTTTGAGCTCTGAAAACTAGACTATGATCATTAAACCTGGCTTGAGTCTCTGTTCTGGCAATCTGTGACTGGTTTATTTATCTTTTCAGCCTGTGGGTAGGGCTCACTGTGCCTCAGAAGTGTGTGGCCTAAGGAGAGGATATTTAAATGCCGTTATAAAGGCAAGGGCAGAGTCCACATCCAGGCATGAAAATAGACCAGGGTCAGGGAACTTTTTTCTGTGAAGAGCCAGACAGTAAATACGTTAGGCTTTGCAGGCCGGGCGCTCTCTGTTACAGCGACTTAGTCGGGCCACGGTAGCAGGATGGTCACCACAGACAGTACATAAACTGCAGAGTGTGGTTCCAGTACTTCATTTACAGACATTGAAATCTGAATTTCATATCATTTTCACGCGGCTTTTGAGTTTTTTCAACCATTTAAAAATATAAAAACTCTTATTAGCTCACAGACCATACAAAACCCAGCAGTGGGGCTGGTTTGGGCCAGCTGACCATAGTTTCCCGACCTGATAGATTCTCAAAAGAAACGTCACTGATGCTATAGCAGGAGAGTTTAGAAATTCTTTAACTTGGGGCTACAGCCTGTGGATAATGAAGTCTTCCTGGATCCCTGGGGAGGAGGGCCGCCTCCCCACGGAGTTCTCTTAAAAGTCTGGATGAAGCCTACTAACTGTGCTATGGAAAAACGCTTGCACTGGATTAAAAGAATTGGTGGAAAGCAGCTCAGTTTCAGTATTTTGGTTATGGCCTGTATTTTTTTCATACTGTAAATGGTAACTATCTTAGTTTGGCTCAAAGCATATTCACTGAATGGGCAGGTTAATACTCACTGACAGTTTAATGTGTCCCAGGCATTGCATAGACAGAAATGCAACCCTCACGTTCTTGGTACAGACACAGCCTACCAGAAATTGGACCCGGCTCTGCTAAACTCTGAACATGCAAATTCTTTGGCTACTCTCTTGGTACTTCTGGAAGGAGATCGTCATGGTAGAGTCCAAGAGGGAAGAGGAAATGATATAAGGAAAACAAATTAAAAACCAGAATTTAAATCATTACCTAATTTCCTACATTGATAAAATCTTGACCAAAGGGCAGCCCTCCTCTGTCTGGAGAGTTGTCTTGTTCTCTTCATGAGGAACCACCGAAGGAGACGCCTCACCAGCCACATCAGACAAATCAACCTTGGCAGGCAAGTGAAATGGCAGATGATGCGGGAGTGCTCCCATAGTCTACATTTACATGGCACTTTTTCATCTTTTCAAAGCAGTTTTTGCTGCAGCTGATGTTGGCCAAGAAGAGGACGCTGGTAAAGAGAATGGGTCTGGGAAGACTGCTAGGCTGTGCCAAGCCCTGACTCTGAGCCTGAAAAGTTTTGGTGCTCCTTTCCCCATCATGCCAAAGAAGTCCATGGCTACATCTCAGGCCCCCCACCCCCAAGCCATAAGAAACTCCCTAAGTTCTGGACAAGACATGCAATTTTGTCTGCCATGTCTTGCGGCACTTGCCTTAGCTCCTCTTAGGTGGCATTTCGGGGGAGTGGGGGAGGCTAATAGGACAGGTGCCTTGTAGAACAGAAGTTGAGAGTTCAGTTGCACTGGCCAGCTTCATCTCCCTTCCTCTTGACCTCTCACTCCCTTCCCTTCTGCAGCTGTAGTTCTTGTACCGCTTACCTTGGCTCCCAGGAAACCACTGTGAAGCTTCTTTCCCCATCCACGCTGTAGAAAAGGCTCAGACCTGTGCAGTAGAAAGGTTGGCTTTTCTGGTCTGGCTACAGTGAGCCTTTCCTTCCTCTCATGGGGCTTGAGAGAGGAAAGCTAAAGTAGCTGCCACATCAAGCCTCTTCATCAGGCTTATATGCTATTGGGTAGGAGATCCCAAGCAGTAAAGATACACAAACCTGCCCTGAGGCCTTCCAGTCTACGTCAGCGTGGTTACTGTCCCAGAAACAGAGGGTGTGGAACTGTGGCCTGAGAGAACCATCCTTCTGTGAGCCAGGACATGGAGCCCGGCAGGGAGACTTCCAGGCACCCTACGGCACTGGCATACGTAAGGTGAGAGTCATTGGCCCCAAAGTTAGGGGTGTGTGTATGCACATGCACACAGGGTGAAGGAGCACTGTAGCTGGACATAACTTGGTGCTGCTTTCCCCTCACCTCCCACTGCTCCCTTGCTTGGCCATACTTTGCTTTTGATGGGGTCTAGCCAGAAAGACCCAGCTCAGTCCTGGGCTTAGAAAGCACAGTGAGGTAACTCACAATCTGCTTTAAAGAGAGGGGTGCGGGCGCCTGGGTGGCTCAGTTGGTTAAGCGACTGCCTTCGGCTTGGGTCATGATCCCGGGGTCCTGGGATCGAGTCCCGCATCGGGCTCCCTGCTC